TCTATAGTAGAGGACAGTAAGGATCTGTGTTCTAAAAGGAAAGAATGCAAAGACTGTGTCATTCCTCACTGTCTGTGTTGACTTGTGGACATGGACACCTAGTGAAGTTTTTCACTCTTTTTTGTTTGTGGTATTTGTGTGTGTGGTGGGGGGGGTGCAGGCACACATGTGTGGAGCTCAGAGGCCAATGTTGGTTGTCTTTTTCTGTCACTCTCCATTTTATTAATTTGACATGGCTTATTGCTGTGCCTGTATTTTTCCAGTTCAGCTAGACTAGCTGACCTTTGAGCTCCAGCATGCCTCCTGTTTCCATGCCCTCTCAGCACTGAGGTTACAGGCACATGCCACTACCTCTAACTTTTATGTGGGTACAGGGAGCAAAGCTCAGGTCCTCATGCTTGCCCAAGCAGGCATTTTACCAAGGAACCATCTCCTCAGCCCCTGCTTGGTAAAGAAGCAGACATTATGCCCTCCAGGGCAGAGTGACTGTGAGACCATGTGAAGACAGATGTCTCTCACTGATAAGGCCAGGGGCGAGGTCTGAAAATTGTGGTGAATACACAATACTAAGATATTCTGAGGGCTCAGAATCTCGTTGAAGGTGACCTTGACCTAAGGGAGATTCTGCTCTGCCATCCCCTTTGCTTGTGGTTCAGCCCATTAGAATTTACACACTGGTTGTGGCAAGCAAGGGCAAGTGAATAAATTCCTTACCAATGTGAGGCTCTGTTGTTTGTGCCCCAGAGAACCATTCCTTTCAGTGGATTTGTAAACTATATGCCTAACTTGTCCAGAATGTGGAAGTAATTTCTTCACACAAGAATAAAAGTCAGTTCTTTAAACAGTTTAACTTCCACAAACGTGCTTTTAATGACTGGGAAATTCCTAGTATAAAAAAAAAATGTCCTTTTGTACAAATGAGGTCATTCTGTTCTTAACTGACCCTGTGCACTCTAGTCCCTGCTTTCTTGTCCATGTTTTGTGACCAGAGGTTATTGGAAGGATAATTCCTCTGCAGATAGTCACTGCCAAAGGGAAAGTTAGCTTAGAAACTGTCAGTCCATGCTGGAGGCCTAGATCCCAGGGGAGCTAAGCCAGTGACCAGTGATGATTCGGTTCAGGCTGGCCATGCCTTGGGCTGTGAGAATGTACTTTCCACGTATACTGCAGTTGCCGTGTCTGCTCTATTCTTTTAAAACCTGCTGCACTGTTTCTTGGTTCAGGAGTGATTTTTCTTTCCTGGGCATGTTCCATTTACTCTGCTTTGATTCTCTCTAATCAGTGGAAACATCTGTAGCAGTTTGAGATCTTCCTCATCTTTTAAACCCAATATAAATGAAAAACACTTGCTGAACTGGATTTCTGTACTTTTCCTTTGAACACATAGAGGCTGATTTTTCCTAAAATTAATTTGTGGCTTGGCTTGGTCAAGGTCAATACTATTTCTGAGGCCTTAGGTTTAGATCTGCACAATGAAAGGATCTTTTTATCTGGAAATGAAGAGTCCATCTCAGCAGATAACCCTGATTTACTTTAAGCTCAGTTTCTTCTGACTGACTTTAAAATAACCATTGCTGGGGCTGGGGAGATGGCTCAGCAGTTAAGACCACTAGCTTAGGTCCCAGGTTCTATTCCCAGGACCCACATGGTGACTGACAACCATTTGTAACTCCAGTTCCAGGGGAATCCAATGCCTTCTTCTGACCTCCTCAGGTATTTACATGACATGGCTACCTTATGTACATGCAGGCAATACATTCATACATGTACAAAATAAAATAAAATAACCATTGCCTACCAAGAAGGATGTCAAAGTATTGAAAAGGATTAAGTAGAAAATCATCAGTTCTATACTGGATATTTCATACATAGATGAACATGGTCTGGGTCCAAGTAAGAATTAATATAAAGCTCTCACTTTGAAGGATTGGGAATTAGAAATTGATATTTATTAACTCTTTCTCAGGTATCCCTCATTACACTAGATTATTTCTACAGCTTCCCTTTTAGAGGTACCAGGTTTATACAACTAATTAGTGTTTCCCATGAAATTACTAAGCTGTGGTGCTGCTGGAGTCTTGAAGGGTCTGTGCTACATTCACATTTCCCTAAAACTTGCCCTTGGCCATGAGGGATCAATGTTTTGCTAAACATTTGATGACTTTTTTGGTGCTTTATCGACTAGAAGTTTTTTTTAATGGTAATTCTTTTATATATATATATTTTTATTTTTTAGAAGGCTTTAACATATTCAGTAACATACTCCAGAGCAAAGATACATCTCTTTCAAAAGTGGCTGTAAATTTTTAGGTTCACAGTTGAATTAATACAGATATACAATATTGAACTCAGTATAAACCCTGTGAGACATAAAATTGAATGAGTTTTTAACTTTTAAAAAAGATCTCCATTTCATTTTAAAATATACTGTTTCTTACAGAAAGACTCATTGTTTTTGCTAATAACACTGAGATGTTGGTGCATGCATCTCTAATCTGTATGTATCTGATCATTACTATTGACTAGAAGTTTCTTAAAAACATCTTTCTCGAATTGTTTCATGTAAGCATATGTTTTTTGACCAAATCTACCACTACATTTCCTCCCCTCCAGTCCCTTCCCTATCCTCTCCACCACTTTTCCCTCTCAACTTCATGTGTTCTTTTTTTTAAAGAAAAATAAAAACAACAAAAAACTGACTGAGTCCATTTAGTGCTGCCTGAATGTCTATGAGTGTAGGGCATCTATCAGAGAGCATGGGCAGCCTCTCAGGGGCCACATCCCTGAAGAAAACGGACTCTTCCTCTAGGGCTGGGACTCAATAGCTCCTCATCTATGGCTGGATCTTCACAAGGCTCTCCTCTATCCATACTGGAATTTTTTTGTCTGGCTTGATCTTGTGCAGGTCTTGTACATGCAGTCACAGGTGCTATGTGTTCATGCGAGCAATGGCCCTGTCATGTCAGGAAAACACTTTCCCTGCAGGCATCTACAGTCTTTGGCTTTTACAGTCATTCCATCCCCTCTTTTACAACAATCCCTGAGCCATGGCAGGAGGGCTGTGATATAGATGTTCCATTTAGAGCTGAGCACTCCACAGTCTTATTCTCTGTACATTGACCAGTTGTGTGTCTATTAATCACCATTTACAGCAAAAAGAAACTTCTGAAGGTGGGTTTAAAGAGGCACTAATCTATAGGTAGAAAAATGAAGGGGACTGTTTCATTCTAAAAATTCACTCATTTCCCACTGAGAATTTTGTTATTATAGCATCTCAATAAAATCTCTATGTTCTAGGATGTTTCTAGCCCATTCACATCTATGTCTGGAGTTCCAAAGTTTGGAGCCCTGATGCCCAGATAAGTCTGAGAATAGTCACAGGGATGAGAGGATTATATAATATATAACAACCCTCATGAGCTGCAGACTTCTTTTGATAGGGTGTGATGGTCAATCTAAAGCACTGTGGCCCCTCCATGAGACACTAGAACA